GAAAAGTCCATAGAAATATGACGCTGGAGCAAACTAACTACTGGAAGACGAGAAATCCACATAAAACCGAACAATACAATCTGACTGGACCAAACCTACATATGCTTTGGATGCTGCCAAATGACACTCAAATTGAAAATCGCCGAGACTAGATTTCATCCAAAATTACTATTAGAAATAATTCATATGTGATTATAATTTACTTGCATCGCAGTTTCATGGATTATATAATGATCCCATTCTTCGTAACTGAATGAGCACCGTATATGTTACCTCAAAAAATGACTGAGATGTGCCCTAAACGCGGTCGGCCAACAGCGTGCTTGCAGATTGCCTACGAAGTTTTGACGAGAGTGAGGATCATTGGTGGAACGAGGATTTGCGGTGGCAATACGGTAGCAAATGGGGCTTAAGAAGAGCTGTAGGAAATGAAAGGCCTTTCTCGGATAAATATAGATTTGTGGCGGTATGAGGAATCGACCAAGCGTATAGTTGCAGAATGTTCCTTTTTGGGCAACAATGAGAATCAGACGACACAATAGGATTACAATTATCATTTACCAACAACTGACACTTGATAAAGGCGTAATCTCAGAGATTATGCGCCACATTATCGATACCATTGAGTGAGGGTGTTTGAGAACGACCAATATACCAAGCATTTGACCACTCCATAGTAACCGATCGTAACGCTGATCCCCATCGTAGAGACACATTAATCCTTGAACGCAAGAACAGAATAGCTGAAACAGTTGACGGTGCTGTTCTTCAACACGGATATAAACGTACGAAAATCCTTGGCATTGAAAATATGAAAATACCAAAATCTGACTATCTATTGAAGCAAGTATATTGGTTAAGAAGTGTATGATCAACGGCAATAATAATCAATGCCCTCATTCTGAAATCATGCCCAGAAATTCATCTGCTGCCCCAGGAAGGATACTAAAGTGCCAGAAATATGCGGTTTTTGTAGCTACAGCCAGAACAGCATGACAGATAATTGATATTAGAAATTTATCGCAGGCTGCAGGTAGTTAGCATGGTTAACCCCTGACTGCTGGCAAATATTTTTTGTATGAAATAAAATGAAATAAAATACAAACAGTGATATAATGTATAATATATTATATTAATGTCGATAAAGAGATCAACGTACTTTCATCCATCTGGTGCTGATTTTCTTGCTCGAAATGCTTCGCTCTCATCGTAACGCATTTTATGCCTCTTTTCAGCAACTGCAATTCACCTGCTAACGCTTCAATTCCTTCTGAAGCAGACATTATAGGTCAAGGGTGTAGCTGTGCGATAATAATAGTCATAAACGGTAAATGGTACTTCAATAAGCAACAGTGTTTTAATCGTCCATTGTTTTTTTCTGTTTACATCAAGTATTTGTTTTACTTTACAACTACAGTATCTGTTTTAAACTGCTTAGGGTACACTCCGTCAAACCAACGTCGATGTATTCGTAGCGATTGGCAGGCAACAACCAGCCATAGTATTTCATAAAATAAAGAAGTACGGTAGAGAGTATATTAGCTGATGGATTGTCATCAATCCTAAAGCAGTCGACTGACGGAGCTATGATATCTAAAATCGATCTATAGCTTGTCATACTTCAGCTGGCAGTACTATCTGATGCAAGGATACTCCAAACTCAATTCTGAACGAAAAAATTTAAAGTCACTTTATATATGAATCATTGATGAAAGGAGATTGAAAGACTCTCATCAATCAAGGCTTACGTCTTGAACAGGTGATTAAGACTCACTATAAGTCATGTACAATGCACAATAAACTTTCGAGTGTGCTGCATCTTTTTCTATCGCGACATTTGTATAATCATCATATACATCTTGAATCACGGATTGCAGATTGTCTGAAACCTAGTGATGGGTGCTGAGCTTAACGCTTTGCAACTGGAAGAGCAGGTCTAATTATTCTTTTGCGTTGGATCGGTTGTTTATGATATCATATCACAATCATTCATTCTCTACTTTTACTGCTGCATGCGAATCAACTGTTTCACAATATTTAATAATGATTAAACACATCATCTGCGCAATGACACTTTCCACCTATCTATTAATTTCTGGTCACTTCTAGACGCTTCCTTTCGTTTTGTTGCTACCGCCACTTCGAAATTATCGTCGTACTTTCTTATTACATTTACGGCTTAAACTTTGAACTCACTTAGTATCTTTAAGGACACAGTTTAAGAGACCTGATTAATCATATGCCCATGTTTTCCTTGCCCTCTCTAACATATTCCAGTGTGTCCTTTCCCAGCCGTGAGTAGTTAATCTTGTATATTGTATTAAAATAGCATCGATTTGGCAGGCGATCTTGATAAGCAATGGAAGTTGATGGGGTGCTTCGATAAAATTAGAGGTTTCTCCATATTTGCGTTTGTTATGAACAATATTTCAGTTTTAATGAAATTATAAAAGAATTCTCACCCTCTTCCATTAGTATTCCATCTCATATTTGCGGAAGACTAAATACAGTTTACAACGTAGGAAAATATTAGATGCCAAGATCGGAAAAGATGTGTCGAGGAATCATGTCTGCTATGGAAGTCTGACAAAAAGTGGTTGAACAGTTCTTATTAAATGTAGAATTTCTCCAAGAAGACGCCCTTCCAACTTGCCATTCAATAATACGAAGAAATTCGAATGCTCCCGTGAATCCCTACATCGAAAATAAATAGATTGCTGATGGAAGTGGGGTGTCGGGCGAGGCAAATGTGCTAGAAGACAATGTTGTTATTAGGAACTCATTATGAGAAACCGGTTGATTGATTCCAAACACACATACCGGAGGAACCATGAAGGACAATTCATGACACTATTTATTTTTTCTACAGAAAATTTCAGCGTTGTATTATGCAATTGTGATTTGTAAAGCAGCAATGTATCGTAAACCGTAGAAAAGTGCAGTAATTCTTACCATATCGGTCTGCATGTTCGTAAATTCAAGTCATGGGAAAGATTTCATTCACTTATGATATCTCACGGTCACGTTTAATTGATCGACTGGACATACGGCATCATAGGATTTAGTCATAATTAAAAAACTTGAATAAGACGTACATTCTTCAGATATCACTAATTCATTCAAAAATTTTCAATCGACTTAATACGGTAATGGTCTAGTTTAGAACGAAAGGTCTATAATTTACTGATCACTAAATGTCCATAATGCATCACATAGTACTGTCAAAAGAATTCAAGTTTTCGTGGTTGTCATTTATTGCTGAAAATCTGAATGATTCTAACGACGTGCGTCATCTACTCCTTACTTACTGCATTGCTTGAGTACAATATTACAATAGTTCTGATTGTGATTATGCAAATAAATTTCGTTGTATGTATAGATATGGTCGGTACGACTTTGAGTATGTAATTAGGTAAAAATTTACATGTTCGTGTTGACAATTAAACCTGAAGCAATAGTTGGTGGTGTTTTTGACAACTGCTGTTCCTCGCCAAGCGTTAATCGTAGTTTCATAAGAGAAGCGTTTCTGGAGGCGAAAACCGATTGATTCCATCGGTAAGTGCATGTTCGAGAAATTTGCATGGATCATTTGAAACCTGGCCAATTATGTTGTTATTTGGACTGATAGATTTCTGCCATTGCGCAAAGCAATTAATCGACGTATCAGTACAGCCTTAAATCACGCGGTCGTTATGACCATTAACTGGTGGAGGAAACGTCATCGCCATTACACGCGCAGTATGGTGTTGTTGGTTATCGCTCTGTTTTTAACCTCTACTTTTATTGCTTCAGTGCCGGTGGGGGACCGATCTGAAGATCAGAAACCGGAAACCTTTTTATTGTTTCAGTCCAAGTTGGGTAACAACACCTGTGCTAGTTGTATACCTGGGATCTTAACTTGTTTACAACTTTTATTTAGATAAACAGCACAAGATTTTAAACGGCTCTCGACTTGACCTGATGACAAATAAGTACTTTGAAGGTAACATTTGGCGGTTCTCATTTGAAGATTACATTAAATGTAGTTGATTTTCAGATTTTAAAGTCCCAGAGAAAATCGACTGGAATATGCTCAGCCCTGAAACCAAGCAGATCCTTGCCTCTTTGTTACAGAAGTTATCGCTGGATGCCCCAAAGGAAGTGACAGGTAGGTAGGAATCTTACGGTCACTCCGGAAGAACGCACTCACTTTTATTCTCGTTATTCACGTTGACATCAATTGATAATGGCGAGCAAATACAATGAATCTGCTTGAAGCTGGGTGATGCTGATGCTTTGATACTTATCCTCAGATCTTAAAGAAGGCAGCATTTTTCTCTCAGACAAACAAGATTTATTTTTAGTCACGTGCATAATATTTGGACTCTGTGTCATCCATGAAGTCCTCTGTAGCAATCAGTGTCTGAGGATCATTCATATCCTATGGTGATAACGCTCAGCCACAAAGATTATAGAGAAAATAAATTCGATCTCGTCTCTGTCGGTAGATGTCGCATTTTGAAACAGGACGACATTTAAAGTGCTTTGAATGATCGGAACATCAAGATTTTCGCATTTTTCAGGCTTTAGGCATCGATTGACTAGTCTTCTTTACAATAGTTAATCGGCAAGTAATCTGAACAAGTACTGAAGTTTCTTACAATCATAATGATTCAGGTTTATTGTTTGAATTTTTTATGTAAACATCAAGTTTTTCGTGCTTTTCCATGTGCCAACGTTATTAGAAATATTTTTGATATTATCTTGCATCCTCCTATCAGTGCTATTTAAACTGACCCTACCATATTCACTCTGTTGCTGGTGCAATTACTGTTGCGTAGTTTAGTATGTTCAGAATGTCAAAAGCATCCCTGAGTATTTCTGAGTCAATAGTCTGTTCAGTGCGTTCGACAGTTTTGTTTAAACTATTTACCTTATCATATTTCTTGCATGATATATTTGGTAAAAGTGCTTTCTGTTTTCCGTTTAGCACGTTGTCTGCTCTCTTGATGTTAGCACTTTAAATGGCCCTTGAAACTGTATTCATTGCTTGACTAATGGACTGAGATGCTACAAGCGGAAAAATAAAAGTTTTGCTTACCACGTTTATGCTTCTAGTCACCAACTTACAGCACATTATAAGGAAAGGTCTTTTACGGTGCGGAGTTCACGGCAACAACACATACAGGTCCTAGCTTTCATTCAGGTACGTTCAAAGCCACTAATTTCATGGCCTATTAATAAACATGTGTTCTGAAATACTAAGGGAATTGCGTTATTTGCATTGAAACAATCATCATCATTGTTTATTATTTTCAGTCTCTACCTTTGCTGTTTACTGTAATACAAACCAATTTACACTCTTACATCAGAAAAGAAGCCATAAGTTTCATACGAAATGAATAGAATAGAAGACCACTGTTTTGTTTATCTTGCTCATGGTATTGTGGTTAATATAATTTTTCTTTAAGGTGATGCCTTATGAGTAAACAAGTTTCGACGAGTCCAATATGACTCAATATTTACATTTTTACTACCCAAGAACCGCGACTAATGCAATTTTCTTTCTACTAACGTGCATAAATCATCATGCGTTGTCTCATCCTACTGTGATCGCAATCAGGCAGGACAGAGTGAGAATGTGGTTGTGCCTTCATTTGGGAAATAAAATAGATAGGCTTTCAACCGTTCCTCCAAGTTGGCAGTCAGAGTGTCGTTTTTATGAAAGAACTTAATCAAAAGGCAGGCAGAGTGTTAATCCGACGTTGATCCAAACGGAGATTTAGTTTTACTGTTTAAGATGAAAAATTAGGAGACGCTACACCATCAAATTTCACGATTTTGCCTTGTCTTCCTGGCGCAACTTAATTTCTTCTTTGTAAAGCGATGATCTGTTTTTTTTTTTGAAATTGACGAGCCCATTGTCGAGATAATTTATTCATTCTTTCGATGATTTTGGTCGCTCAGTCGATAGACCGACGAACTGACAACCGAGATGTCATGGGTTCGAGGTCGCTGTATGGGAAACTCGCTTTTCTTCCTTATGAGATTGAGGAATATGTTCTTCTCTGTGGGAAAGAAAGACTGTGCTTGCCATGTAACTGCTGTCGACTGTACCTTGGTAAAAAAGCAGTCCTAGCTGATGGCATGGAAATAAATTGTTTCAATTAGTTGATTGTCTTATTTTCATAATTGTCTTATTTTTTGAACTTTAACATATTTTAATCCTGCTTTCCCCCCATCTGTAGTTTCTGAAGAGATGAAAGACATGACTCATGTATCACGCCCACGCATAAACATCATAAACAGTGACTGATAGAAAAACTTCAGGCTAAGACACTGAAACTGCTCTCTGGATAAGAAGTTTTTCATCTGTCTCAAAGAGACACGCCTTTTTACTCTTCTGCCGATTCATAAGGTTGGTTGTCATTTGTGAAGGTCAATTTTCTTAGGTAGAAGGAGTTCATTCTCATCTGTTCAATCTTAAGATCATTAACTTCAGCTGTTCATAGTATTACTTATTTCTTAAACGTGACGAACATTTTTCAGGTCATCTTCATTTCCATTTTAACACCGTCATCATTCAACCTCTGGACTACTCTCTCTAGTTTAAATCTTCTGCTGAGGTTGTGATGATCAGATTTTCAAGGGTAGACTTCAGGTGGCTTGAGTAGGGTGTATTTATCTTCAACTCCCGGTTTTTCAAGTTAAATATCTTCAGATCCACTCCTGAAGCTGCCATCAATGTTTGCGGCGACAACTCATCACTCTGTCGGAATTCTGT